GAGACCATCCTGGCTAACACGGTGAAACCCCATCTCTACTAAAAATGCAAAAAATTAGCCAGGCGTGATGGCGGGCGCCTGTAGTCCCAGCTAGTCGGGAGGGTAAGGCAGGAGAATGGCGTGAACCCGGGAGGCAGAGCTTGCAGTGAGCCGAGATCGCGCCACTGCATTCCAGCCTGGGTGACAGAGTGAGACTCCGTCTCAGAAAAAAAAAAAAAAGAACGTTCTTTTCTCCTTCTTGCCAGTCCTGCTGCGGCTGAGGCCTTGGTCCAGGCTTGGAAGGGGCCTGTGCAGTGGCCAAGTGGGGGCCGAGGTGTCACTGTCTCCTTGGTGGGGAGGCTTAGGCTCCCTTGGGGTCTGCCCCCGGGGGCCAGCACAGCCTCTGGATGCTGGGTTTCTTCCTGGGCGGCCAAGACCCTCCTTCCCTGTTTGCTCTTGGGGGTGCCTGTGCCCTCAACTTGACGTCATCCTCCCTCTGGGGACCTGACCTCCTGCCTTGTTGCTGTGACCCTAATGGACTTTGCACTGTCTCACTTACCTGTGGCCATCCCGGGCAGCCCCGAGCCTCTGTGATGGGGTGGGGTCTCTGGAAGGGGCTGTGTCTGCTGTGGGCGCCCCTGCAAGGCTGGAGCTGAGTCAGGGTCTGCCAGGCCTCAGCGTGTCCACGTGTTTGGGGCTGAGGGCTCTGGTGGGTCCCGTGGCCCAGGTAGTGAGAGGGGAGGAAGATGGTGGAGGTGGGTGCAGGCAGGGGGCCACGTGCCCAGCCATGTCACCCAGGCCGGCGGAGAGCGCCTCCAGACCAGCCTCCTCAGACCCCAGTCCCAGAGCCATCTGTGAAGGGGAGCCCGTGTGCTGTCCACGCTAGGATGCAGCGGCCCCTGGCGGAGGGAAGGCTGACCAGGGTGGGGGTCCGTCACGGAAGAGCCTGGGGAGATGCAGGTGCTGAGCCAGGCAGCCCCCGCCCCAGCGTGGCCCGTGTCCCTGCAGCACGTGGCTGAGGAGCTCCAGCACCTGCTGCAGTGGCTGATGGGCGCTCCCGCCGGGCTCAAGATGAACCGTGCACTGGACCAGGTGCTGGGCCGCTTCTTCCTCTACCACATCCACCTGTGGATCAGTGAGTGCAGGGAAGGCGGGGGCTCCAGGGACCCCGGAGCTTGCTGAAGAGGGTAGGGACCCAGCCACACCCCGCCCCCTGCGCCCCCAACTCTGCTTCCTGGCGTCCTGTGTGTGTGAGGCTTGTGCTGGGCCGAGGGCTGGGGTCTGAGCGCCTCCTGAGGGCCAACCCCACCCTGCCAGGCTATATCCACCTCATGTCCCCCTTCGTCGAGCACATCCTGTGGCACGTGGGCCTCTCGGCCTGCCTGGGCCTCACGGTGGCCCTGTCCCTGCTCTCGGATATCATCGCCCTCCTCACCTTCCACATCTACTGCTTCTACGTCTATGGCGCCAGGTGGGCGAGGGCTTCCCTTCCCCACCGCCCCCGGGAGGTGCAGAGGCTCCGGCTGGGCGTTGGAGAAGGGCGGGGCGGGCGAGTGGGGCGAGTGGGGCGGGG